CGGCCTGCAGAGCGGCCAGACCATCGCGCTGCCCGCGCAGGGCCTCATCGAGTTCCGCGACGCGCTGGCCAAGCTCATCGACGATTACGGAGGCGAGGACGACGAGCTGGCCGGCGGCCCGGGAGGCGGCGCTGGGGGCCCCGGGGGTGGCGTGTATGGGGAGCTCCCGGAGGGCACTTCCATAACTGTGGACTCCAAGCGCTTCTTTTTCGACGTGGGCTGCAACAAATATGGGGTGTTTCTGCGAGTAAGCGAGGTGAAACCGTCCTACCGCAATGCCATCACCGTGCCCTTCAAGGCCTGGGGCAAGTTCGGGGGCGCCTTTTGCCGGTATGCGGATGAGATGAAAGAAATCCAGGAGCGACAGAGGGATAAGCTTTATGAGCGCCGTGGTGGGGGCAGCGGCGGCGGCGACGAGTCCGAGGGTGAGGAGATGGATGAGGATTGAGACGGGCGGCTTCCCCTACAGGCCTCCCCCACCCCGCCACCATCCCCCTGGCTAGATGGTTTCCTTTCCTGCTCATCCTCAGTGAGCTAGTGGAGAGGGAGCAAAGGAGGCCCCAGAGGAAAAAAACAAAAGTGAAAAATAATATAGTTAAGAGAAACAACCATAAGAGAACAGTCACGGACAATTAGAGAAAAGCAGTAAAGTTCCAAGGAACTGACAGCAACCTGCAAAGAGAGGACAACAGCATCTCCTCACCTGCCCCAAATAGTCTCAACCTCTTTTCTTCCATTTGAGGTTCCTTCATCCAGCAGGGTAAGTATGGAGGGGATAGATCCTCGCATTTCTGGGCCAAGAAACAACTGAGTTACCCAAATCCATTGATAACAGTTGAATTTGTGTTGTACGTGGGTGATCAGGTCTGAAGATTTCTCCAGGCCTCCCTGTTGCAGTGTCTGCCCCTTCACTTCCATTGAAATCAGCATTTTGGATCTAGGTGTTCATGGAATCATTGAGAGGAAAGAGGCCTTTGCAGTTACCCAGTTCTGAGGGTACAAGTTCGTGAAAAAGGAATGCAACTTTCAATATCACGGACAGGGCAAAATAATTCAAGAAGCCATCGGAGAATACAGAAACAAATTAGATCCTTTTTTTTTTTTTTTTTTTTTTTTTTTTGTTTTGCATGGAACTTGGACCAAGGCCATGTCTTTTCTTTGCAGAATTGTTTTCCGGGATGCACATGGATTCAGATATCAACGCTTGAGCTGGAATCCATTACTAAAATAGTTTAAAAGTTGGCAAAAATATTTTCAAAGATAAAAGCGGTTTTATATTGGGGATTGCTGAGGTAGGCACAAGAAGAAAGTCAGGCATAAAGCACAAGGCAAACTGTTTTGAGTGGGTTGGTTGCTGCTCACTAAAGTTCTTCCCCTGATCTCTAAATATGGAGGTCGTTACCAAGAAATGGCTTAGATACGAATGAGAGCCAGATCCCTGTGGCTCCACCATGTGAGCCAGTGAATTATGGCTAATTCGGCTGTTACAGCCACCGGTTGGCTGGATTTTAAACCATAAAACTTGAAGATTACCTACAAAAGGAACAGTGAGGCTACAAGCCTGAGCTTTAATGGAATATATGTCCTCACAGAAAAGTTGGAAATAACCAAAACTGAAGTCTTAATTTACCTTCAGTTTAATCTGTGGATTTGTTCAAATACTAAAGATCCTCAGGTCCAGAATTCCAGCATCATTTATTTTAAAATAAATTTTTAAGAACTTGACTCATTGTATCAGTACCTCACAATCAAAGTTGGCAAATGATGGATGAGTGATTCAAGCAATGCACCCGGTGGAAGTTGAAATCCATCTGTGAATAGAACTGAAGTGAACGTGAATATGCTGACTATATCCTGGAAGCATTTTTATATACCATCTTGAAATTTCAACAAACTGGCTTTTGTCAGCTTATCCAGCTGTCTTTCAAGAATAAAAGTTGGGGTTTTCAAGGATCGCCTCTTCTATATTTTAAATGGATTTTCAGTAGAAAGGATTTTTACTAATCAAGTTAATCCCACCCCCCATCAAAAGGTATTCCTAGAAATATCATAGACCTAGGTAACTTTGAATTGAATGGGAGCTAATGTTCTTTCCAAAGTTTTCAGGTATTCTTTGTGTGACACCTTCTCAACCAGGAGGCAAGTAACCCCAACTCCAGAATCTTAGTATTTTTTTTTTAACTGCATGCCTGCCCTTTATTTGAGCTGCCTTTTTAATTTATTGCATATCCTTACCTTCTCAACCAGGAGGCAAGTAACCCCAACTCCAGAATCTTAGTATTTTTTTTTAACTGCATGCCTGCCCTTTATTTGAGCTGCCTTTTTAATTTATTGCATATCCTTTTTATTATCTTATTTTGGTATTATTCAATCTACAATCTTTTTGTATTTATTGGGAAATAAGTAATATACAAAAAGGTCGTTTTCATGTATTTGTGGCTGAGAGGGAGGGAAATAATTGTGTATATAAAATTAGGCTTTTTTTAAAAATAGGCTATGATTCAGAATATTGTTGATCTTAGATTTAAAAAAAAAAAGTGGGAGAGCCACAAACATTGGTGCCCTTTTCAGACTATTTCTCTACTCATCATCTACAGTAGAATTTTTAAACAGATTTTTTTAAAGCTTTTCTTTAAAATTTTTCTCCGTTGCAAAAAAAAATAGGCTATGATTCAGAATATTGTTGATCTTAGATTTAAAAAAAAAAGTGGGAGAGCCACAAACATTGGTGCCCTTTTCAGACTATTTCTCTACTCATCATCCACAGTAGAATTTTTAAACAGATTTTTTTAAAGCTTTTCTTTAAAATTTTTCTCCGTTGCAAAGAATGTTTCCTAAATTGTATGGGAGCAATAGTATTTTTGATGTTTTAATGACATCCGTATACTTGTACTGTATTTTGTACTACAAGGCAGCTGTTTTCAATAATGTCCTGCTGTATTTACCTATGTGTTTTGAGTGTTTATTTCTTTGCTGCGGAGAACAAATTCCTAGTTTTAGTAAAGGAGCTGAGAAGCTAGCATTAATTAGGTTTGCAGAAACTGCTTAAGTTTCAAAACTCTGAGGCAGCAATGAAAATCAAGGTTGCAGCTATTAGTTGATTGCTGTAACTTTTTCATTTTCAAACCATGTACAAATTCCTGTATAGACCAACTTGTTTTCTTGCTTCAGTGGTGGTTCTGTTGCTCAGCTGCAGTGAGCCAGTTCAATTTTGCAAAGGTGCAGTACCTCTCCTTTTCAAGGGGTTGGTTTATTCTTTTTTCTTTTCTTTTTGGGTGAATTGCAGTAACTAGCCTTGCCTTTCTATTCTGTAGAAATGACAGGGTCTTCACAATCCTTCACCAGTGGCTACTAAGCTATAATTAGCTGAATAGAAAGAATGTGGAAGTGGGTCTGAGGCATATAGAATATGTGCCAAGAACACTACCATATATGGCATCAGCTTTGGTTACCAGAGAAATTTTCTTAGTCATTAGACCATATAACAGTAATATATCATATGTAAATCTTTAGATATCAATTTGAAAATCCTCCAAAAAAAGGAGCAAAGAATGCATAAGCTATGTGTTGGCAAAAGTAATTTATATTAAAATTTTGACCTGCCTATGTAAGATTGAGTGGTAAATGTCATAGTGGTGGGTTTTTAAGTCTTAACCAATCTCTAAGGTTTGTATCTCCTGCAGGGGGTGGTTCATGGCCTCTTTTCCCACTGCAGGAAATTTGCAGAAGGATGTGGATTAATTGTAGTATTTCACTGATCCTCATTCCAGTCACTAGGGACAATAGAAATCTGCGAAGCACAGAGATTCATTCATAAATATTAGTTTATTAAAGGAAGTGGTCTTTGTTAATTCCAGTTAGATAATAGCATTGTACGGACTTTGGGAAACAACCAATATTTTTTGTCTTGTTTTTCAGCTGCTACTATGAATGATTTAGAGCTTGTTTTTAAATTTGGCAAACATCCCAGCTAATCAAAATAGTCATATTCTGAGAAGTAGGAAACTAAAACTCCTTTTCAAATAATACTACCAAAGTTACGGAGATGAGAAGTCAAATTTTAGGAACAGAATCAAAAGAGCAAAAATCTGTGAAGAGATCCTACTACTCCTTTCTGGTTTCTATTGTCCCTACTATTTCAGCAAGTGGAACAGCAGTTCTAGTCAGCAAATTTCAGTGCGTATGCTGCACAAAACAAAACATAAACCTGTATGGCACCAAAAATCAAAGTGAAAACCAAACCAAGAACCCAAACACCCTATGTTACTATTGGAGGCATGTAGGTGGTATAAATGACTGTAGCTGTGATGCACACATGGCTACTTGTCTCGTCACTTTTCATAATTATTTACTGCAAAATGACTGAGAGGCTTTTGGTGCAGGCAGCCATTAATCTCCTGCTTCCTTTGTTACCTCTGAATCACTTTGCAGTAAATTGCAGGTCTTTTAAGAGATTCAAGCTTCAGTTTTCTCAAAACAAAACAATTATCCTGTCTTATCTGAAAATGCAGGGTTGTGGGCAAAAGAGGCTGGTTATTATAATGCCCTCATATTGAGTGGTCTGTAAACGGCTGCACACTTCAGGCACTATAGTTGTTGAGGCTTTGTTAAATGTGACCTTGACTGGCTTTACAGGGGTGTAGAATGTAAGCTACACAAGGTGACTGAATCTACCTTGCTGTTAAGGTAGTTGAAATTAAGGAGAAGCTGTAGTGTGTAAGCCATGCACATAAGTATTCTTCACTGTAAATTTTGTTTTCATTTTTAACCCAGTTATGGTACTTTGTCCAATGCACAACTGATCTCTCAGTAGATATTCATTTGAAAATAGTGTGGCCTTGATCAGTGAGAAGGGGAAGGAGAGAAGTGACTTTTTCGCTTATGTAAAAATGACTCGTTTGCTGAGAGTTGTGCTTCTGCAGCACTCTTAGTATAGTGTTCGTGATCAGTCTTCTTTTTGATTGGGGAAAGTTAATGTTTTTGACCCAATTTGATTCGATTGAGTTGTCTTCTATTTTTAGGAAGTATCAGAATTGCTCTGATGAATAATAAAGTTGACTGCTTTGATGTCCAATCTCAGGTTTTAGAATATAGTGGTATAAAATCCCACTATTATTAATTCTTAAAACAAGTTTAATTTAGTACACTCTAAAAGTCAGATGCATAAGGCCTGTTCAGAGAGCAGAGCCTCCATCGTTTTGCTCCTTTTCCACTTTGTACTTCACTTGAAAAAGTGTCAAGTGACTTTACATTGTATATTTCCATTCTAACCCTGACATCTTTCTCAAAGATAAAGCACTTTTTGATCATGAAATACATGGAATCTTTGTATGATGTAGATCATCATTTCTCAGGCTCCCCTAAATAATCTGCTTATGAATATTGTTCTAAGTCTGTAAGAAGAGTAGAAATCTTTGCTAATGTTAGAAAGTTTGTATTATTGATCCAGAATGCATTTTGCTAGTTTCCAATGGATGGGAGAGTAAACAATGCTGCATTCACAATTTAATATGTTACTTTCCCTTGAGCCTTAAGGTAACTTTTTCTTTTCTGTCAACAACAGCACTGAAGTTATAGTA